GATAGTATTGCCATGTGGCACCAATTCCAAGGATTATTTGTTCTTATTGAATTTAATTTTATTGGAATAAAAATGTAATAGTTCCACAGTAATTTGAAGATTTTAATATTTAATTCTATATGTATCGACCATAGTGAGAGTAATGAAAAATGCAAGTGAACAATTATGTGTTGCATGTGTGCGTTGTAAAAATCAATCAAAATCGGTGAAACATAATTATATATAATTGAGTTTCAAACCTGCATTATTGTAATGTAAAATACAAACGCGCACAAAACTTGTAACTTTAGGCATTTCAATTTCAAAAATTTATTTCTCAAAATATATAGAGATACTACCAAAAGCTATCAAACAAACAAATTGTTTTAGCCTATTGTTGGACAAGCCCAAATCATATGTGATAACGCTATATGTGATCCAAGTTTTTTCATTGTCAGGCTGAGCTGAGGCCCTAAATTAATTTAATTTTTATTTTTGTTTTTATTATTTCGATCCTTTCATCCCTAAGCATTTGACTCATGGTGATGAGACAAATGGCCTCATAGGATTTGGGTCACCTTTGTCGTCTTCATTATGTACTTATTCATTTAACATAAAACCCAAAATTTGATCCCTTTTTGAATATTTAATTTTCCAAATGAATTTATATAGATTTGAAGATCAATTAATTAAATAACGAGCTCTGTTGAAAACATTGTGTTATGTGAACATTATTAGTGCATCTGGAGTTTCACATAAGTAATTTTGAATATAATTTGAATTGCTCTATGTCGTTTTGTAGGTAAAATTTAGTGTAAGGTGCCATGATACCAGGATCTTGATTTTGAATTTAAAAAATTTTGTTGTTTTTTTTTTCCAAACAATAAATATTATTATGCTCAATAAGATACGAAGTTCGGTAATCAAAGGATTACAATCGCCCAAATAGGCTAACTCGGGGAACAGACCTGCAAGGACTCCCCTATTCCAGCCACGACGGCTCAACATACAGTTTAAAAAAAACAGAAAACAACACTCTAAAGCACACATACATACACAGTAAACTTAAGACATTTCCTTAAACTGACAAGAATAAAACATGGTACAGATATCATAAATGTCCTCCATGACCACCTGCAATTGTACTCCCAGTGTCTCCTTGGCATGCAAGATTTTAGCTAACCCTTTGGAGCGTGTAAATATCTCCACTCTTTGGCACCCTTCCTCAACTTTTTGCAGCAACCAATCTCGAATAGCCACAATTTCCTCTTCTTTGTTCATCTGTTTTTCCTCCCCTTGAGTCCACAGCCATTTAGACGCTTGCCCATCCACTTTATATGCAATCCCTCGCAGCTCCTCAGGTAGAGTAATAACATCACCAGCACTGGATACATTAAGCTGTACCCCTACTCCTTGTGTTACTTCTCCTCCTGATTCGGCTGTAATGCCATCTTCCTTATTCTGGTCCACAATGCTTTCTGTACCTAAACATGCAAACTCCAACCATTCCCCTCGAGCCCATTCACTATTTGAACTTCTGTTGTCTCCTTCTTTTCAAATTGTTTGTCCTATTTTTGTTGTATTTTTCGTGCTTGTCTTGCTTTTCTTTTTCCCCCGTTTTAGGTCGTTTCTTTCATTTTTAGTCCGTTTCGTATTTTATTATGTGTTTTTCTTGATTTTGAGTCTTTAGGTGTTTTTTTGTTTGCTTTCCCGGTTTTCTTCGTGTTTTGTCGTTTTTGATGTGTAGGTCGTGAGCTTCGGGACAATTTTATCTTCAGCAAACGTTTGTTTCGAGCGCATAGTTGAATAGAGAGGTTCCTTGGCGACGCATAGCAAAAAACAGAACTCAATTCCGAGTTTGGACGAGTCCAAACGAGCCCGAAACGTAAAATTGCGCAGTGCAGTCTAAAGTCGCAACTCGCGAGAGCAAAGTCGCGACTAGTGAGATGAAAGTCGTGACTCACGAGATAAAATTCGCGACTCACGAGAAAAAAAAAGAGCCTGAAGGTGCAGTTAACGAGCTCAAGTCGCGACTCGCGACTCGCGAGTGATGTCGCGACCAAACCCCAGAAATTGAAGATCTTGATGACGTGCGACTCATGAGGAAGTCGCGACTCGCGACCCGAGGAAGGTAAAAGTCCCGACTCGTGACTTATTGACGCGAATTTCGAGATGCGGGTTTTAAACATCAGATTTCGGTCCTAGGGCTGATTATTCACTTCCAGACTTTGTTTTTAGGCTTTTTCTCTCTAGAAACTCATTCTTTTTCATGCTTTTTCACTTTTGATTGGATTTGGAGATTGAAAAACTCCTTCTCTTGCTTGGATTTGGATTGTTCATTGGATTCGATTCTTGATTCTCTATTAATAGTAAGTTTTCCTTTTCAATTAATACTTGAATATGAATGCTTGGGTTCTTGAGATGATTGTGTTGAATTCCATATGATTAACTAATTTGTTTCGTTAGGGATAGGGGATGATGATAATGTTTAGAATTTAATTATGATTATCATGCTTCTTGATCGTTCAACTTATGCGAGTTGTTCTTAACTAGGGTTTATAATTCTCGTACATTGAATGTTGACTATTGTCGAAGAGTGACACTTCGATTATTAATTGATTTCCAATTGAATATGATTCGTTCTTGTGTGATGTGTTTAAATCCAACGAACTAGTAGATTAACAATCGTCTAGGATAATTAATCAACTCTTAGAACCGAAAGGGAAGGAGTTGATCGATCTAGGCTCGCATGAACTAGACTTGTTCAGAAACGTATTGTCTATGTGTTGTGTGATTTGCGTGATTTACCGTCTATGATACCCTGTTGTTACTAAGAGTTATTGAGGATAAATCTTTAGACGTTAGGTTGTTCGAATCATTCAACCGAATGATCTTTGCTTGATATTGGCATTGGTTAGAAAATCATCATCCCCGATTCCTTAGCTTCTTATCATCATTTGATCTTAGTCTTTGCAGTATAGTTCGATTTTGCATTCTTTTAGTTTTCCTTCGTAGTTGATAATTAAAACCCACTATCTTGATTAGAGTGTTTTAGGATTTATTTTTCTTTTATGTGTTATCAACACCATTCCTAGATTCCGAACCGCCTTCCTCGAGAGATCGACCCAAGGAACGAATCTTTCAATTCGGTACTCGGTAAAAATATATTTTGCTACAACAAAATTGGCGCCGTTGTCGGGGAAGGTAAGTAGGATATCTGGTTTTGGTGTTGGTTTTATTTTCTTGTGTTTCTCTTTATTTTGTGGTTTTTGTGTTTTAGTTCTTTCTCTGCACCTTTGTTTTTCTCTTTGTTTTTGCTTTTGTCTTCTTTTTTCTTTCTTTTCGTGGCTACGCGTGGTTGTTTTGTTTCATGTGTGCAGAGATTTGACTTAGGAAGCGCAATGTACCCAAACCGTGTGTTCCTCTTCCCACACATTCAATCCTGGAATAACGGGCCGAGCTATCACTCCGAGCACTACAACCAACCATCTTCGTACTCTTACGAGCAGCATGGAATTTGACACCGGTTGAGCAGACCTATGAATTTCAGGAGCGATCCTCAGAGCATAATGAGAAGCTCGACCGGATTCTTACCTTTATAGTAGCTCGAGAAGAAGAGGCCACAATCAACGAGAAACATGATCTAATCCTCAAACGGATGATGGCCCAAGAAAACCGAGAAGAAGAGGTGGAGCTCAAATGTGCCCGTTTGAGCGAGCAATTAGAAAGTCTAGCAAGGCGCATCGACTCTATCGAGTCGCAAGCTGACAAGCCCATGGTTGTGGACCCACATCCGGAGCCCATGCCTTTTATTGAGCTCGAGGATGACTCTTCGGGATACAATGCTAAACTTGATCTTATCCTTGCTCGGATGATGGCCAAGCTAATCGGGATGAAGAGATTGAGCTCGGATGTGCTCGGTTGAGCGCACAAGTGGAGAGCCTAACAACATGCATCGACCGTATCGAGTCACAAGCTAATGAGGCCCCTATCCATTATCCACATCCTATGCATGGTGCCCGAACATGTAAGTCGATGCGTATGAGCGAGCTTGACAACGAAGAAGTCGTAGCTCCACATATCGAGAGTGACACTTTAGTGGAGGAGATTCTTGAGCCTGATCGAGATGTCCCTGAATTTACATTTTCTAAAGATTCCCCTCCCACGATCGAGTTAGAGGGTTCACATTCTGAGCCACCACTCTGTGCTACTAAAATAGAAGGATATAGCTCGACATGCCTTACGGATATTTTCATATTTCCCGTGGTCGACTATAGAGAGTTGGTGAATAAAGCTCTTCGTCAGAACTTGGTGATTGTTCGTGCCAACACTCGCTTCTTCAAGAACACAACCACCCGAATCCACTGTGTCTGCTTTCTTACCACATTGCCCATGCTACCACTGCTACAGAACACGAAGGTGTGGCATCTGTTGTCAGTATTTTTTACCGAAGTTGAATCAAAAGATTCGTTTCCCAGGTCGTATCGCAAGGAAGGTTAGCCGGATATTCTTGTGCGTATATGCAATCACGAAGAAGAGAAGAAAAATTCCTAAACACTCTAATTCAATATTTTTGGCTTTCAATTATCAACTAGTGATTTAAACTAAATAAAATGAAAGTAAAATAGCAAACAAATTCTCTGAATGATTAAAGAGCTAGGGAATCGGGAATAATTGCTTTCGGTTCTATCACAATTATCGGCAATCAATTGCTCGGTTAAAGGACTTGAATCGTTTCTCGTTCAGAGGTTCACTCTCAATAACTCTTCGTAACAAGAGAGGGAACGTTAACGATCAACTATCAATTCCAACAACACATAGATTATACATTTCCGAACAAATCTATTCTAAACGAGCCTAATTCGACCAACGTCTCCCCTCTCGGTTCTTCACGTTGATTAATTAGGTTAAACTGGTGATCAATCTACTAACCCTATAATTCACACAACTCGAATAGACATGAACAATCAAAAGCATTCAATCATTATCGAACCTAATCAATCATCCCCTATCCCTAGCGAATGGATTTAGCTACTCATATGGAATCTAACATCACAAATCATATTAACCCAAGCCATCATCATCAACAAAACAATTGAGAAAAAGAACTTACGATTAATGATAAGGATTCAATGTCAAATCCAAGTACATCCAAATCCAAAGCGAGATAAAGGAGTTTTCAATCTCCAAAACAACTCAAAAGAGAAAAAGAACGAAAAGGAATGAGTTTCTCTAGAGACAAAGCGTAAAAATAAAGTCTGAAAGTCGAATTATGAACCCTAGAATCGAAATCTGCTCTAAAAATCCCGTCCTCGAAATTCGCGTCGGATAAGTCGCGAGTCACGAGATAGTCTTTTCCTCGGTCGCGAGTCGCGACATCCTCGCGAGTCGCGCGTCGTTAAAATGTTAAGGGCGTGATTGTATATGAATTGTACAGTAAATATCCCAATCAAAACTCAAATTTAACTCTACTTTAACTCAATTCCACTATCTCCAATATTATCAATATAATAAAATAATATCAGCCAATCATTATTACACATCACATCAATTTTAATTCACTATTCAACCACTCACATAATTTTAACTAACCATCACTTCCAATCATTTTCTCCTACTTTTCCATCAAATCAACTTTAATTATTTTAATTTAAATATTATTTTAATATATTAACTAACAACTAACCATACTACTTTTTTTTAAACTCAACTATAGTTAAAAAATAACCAATTTTTTATTAGTTGAATTCATATCCAATCACCTCCTAAACTTCTGGGGTTGGGTCGCGACATAACTCGCGAGTCGCGACTCCATCTCGCGAGTCGCGATATCATCTAACGAGTCGCGACTCGTTCTTCGGAAATCCTCTTAAGCCCCAGTTTTTTCCATGAGTCGCGACTCAACTCGGGAGTCGCGAGACGATTCGCGAGTCACGAGAAATACTTGGCATGTTTTCTGTCCGTTTTTCAGTCCTCTTCGTCGTCTTCTAGGCTCAGCCACGGGAATTCTCGATATCGCGGTCTCGGCTCAAGCAGTCCCAACTCGACCGGTGCAACCTATCTCCTGAAAACACAAAAACAAAGAAAAACACAAAGCAAAACACGGCAAAAAGACACACAAATATAAACTAAAGAGAAAAACACAAAACAAACGAATTGGACCAAATAAACTACGTAAAACCTAAAAATTGGGGAAAACAAAAAGGAAATAAACATGAAATAAAGACACAAAAATGGGACAAACAACTCCCCCACACTAAGACTTTTGTTTGTCCCGAATAAAAAAAAAAAAGAAAAGAAAAGAAAAGAAAAGACACAAATAAAAGCGAGCCTGGACATCAGTCGATAACAAGATAAGTCTCAACACATTCAACTTCAACAATGAGCATTCAAATGGCACATACGAACATAACACGACTACATGCTTGATCGCTAAACTTTAATATGACGTCCTCTCAAGTATGGGAATGTATATGTGTGCCTCACTCACTTTCTTATACAGA